GGCAATTCTGCCAGGCCTGTCCACATATCTGGTAAAGAAACATTTTGAGAGAGAGACAGAGACATCCTCTACTGCATAGTACCCTGTAGCCTAGGGTAAGGGCTAAGGGACACCGAGCTGCAAGCCAGGAGACAATGAGTCCTACTTCCCATTCATTCCCTGTATGCTGTCAATAGCTCTGTACATTTCACAACCCATATTCTTAGCTAAGCCCTTGGTCCCCTACTTGATGAGGCAACTGTCATTCATGCACTTTACAGACGAGGTCACCTTAGGCAGTGCTGCTTCTGTGACAAACCCAAGTCTTATCCACATTACCACACTGTCTTTAAGAATGGATGTACCGAATTATGTGCTTGGCTATCCTGTCTTGAACTACTCGACCACACTCTGCTCCCAAGGCCAGGAACAGAACTTGGGGATCCTGGTACCTGCTGTCTCACAAATAGCTGTCTAGCCCACTGGCAAAGTGTGTCAGTCTTCTTCTGCAGCTGGGTCCACTTAGAGGATAACAGCCTACCTTCACCACCAATTGCTCAAGTAAAAGAATTCTGTGCTGTGGATCTAAAGGGCCTGAGTTCAAGACCTGTTAGCAATCCTTGTGGAAAACAACAGCATGTGGTCATGGAATTAAAGACAGTATCAGTTTTGTCCTCATGGGCTCTGCAAGGTAGGAATCTACCCCAGTGCGGACCAGCTACGGAGCCCAGGAGGGGGATTTCCCTTTGGTGCTCTCCAGCAGATGGGCAGCAATGGAGTCCCTTGGTTGGATGTGGGAGCATGATAAGAAGGAGCTTAGGGAGCCAAAGGGTTTATGTGGAAAAAGGCAAAGGCTGGATCTACTTGGAATCTGCTGATTCGCACCCCCTCCTCCCCTTCCCCCAGCCCCTAGTTGTACCATCAAAATAGAGAACAAGTGTATCTGTTCCTAAGCACATCAAACACACCCAAGACCTTGAAGCAACCATACTGCAAAACCCCAAATCCAGCGTCTGGATCCCACTGGACCAGCCAATTTTGGCTTCAACTCCCAGAATTCCAGTACCTGCATAAAGAACAAGTCTTGTCACTCCTATGCACCAATAAATCTGAACCCCAAAGCTTCCTGGTGCAACAATGCTGCAAAAACCTAGATCCATGGATTCTTTTCCCAGAGACCTTTTAAAGTCTGCAGGAAGAGCAGAGGAAGGGCCAGCTGAGTTTGGTGGCAGTGGGTTGGGGCCGGGAAGCCATGGATCCCCTGAAACTGAAATCTCGTTTGCATAGAAAACTCTATACACCCTATGTACAAAGTTTACCATGTGTTTGAAAACAGCATGTGCTGAGCTCATAGAGTTTGCCACATAAACTGGTGCACTTGTGCCCTTGAAAACTCCAGACCTAATTCTCCTATCTTGCACCTTGTGTCGTTATTTACACCTGAGCTCTGCAGATGTAAAATGCCACCAGATTCCCCACTCTTTCACACCAGTGGTGGCATTTTACACTTAACTTTACCCAGCTGTCAGTGATTACACAAGCTGCAAGGCCACAGACAAATGCAGCCCTCTCTGTGCAGGGTACATACATTTTTGGGGTGTGGGTAAAGGCTGAATCTTGCTAATTATTTCCTCCCAGTCAAGAGCTGCTGAATGGTTTCTTCTCAAACTCTCCAAAAGAATAGTGCCCCAATTCAGTAACGTTTTGTGCAACTGAAATCAAGGGGTTAGAAAAGAAACATTTAGGCAGCCTTAGATTGGTTACCATTGAGCCCGCTAGGGAAAAAAACTTCTCAGAATTTTTCCATCAGACATAGCTCTATGTACGCAAAAGACTCCTCTGCTCAGCCTCACTGGGAACATTCTCAGCCTTGCACAGCAAATAACCTTCCCTCTCCCAGTTGCACAAGGAAATCTTGCTCACCTGGTGGCTACGGAAACTTTTCTGCATACAGAAATGGACCAGCATGTTGAGAACATGGCTAAATTCAAGCACCTGGGAAAGCCAATACTACAGTACCTGTGCCTGTCCTGGGATTAAAGGGAGAGTCTTTGTCTTGGCTGCCAACCGAAATACTGTGATATGGTGGGGAGTGAAGGTTTACTGCACATTTACTTGGGCCTGGAGACAGAAGAAACTAAAGGAAAACTAGCTATTTCAGTGCAAGAGGAGTGTACCCAAAACAACTGTTGAAATTCACCAATGATGTATTGCAGGGAGTTCTCAGAAGACCTACCACCAACTTGAGAGGATGGCTGGGCTGATTTCCCAAACCCTGGTACAGTCCCTGTTTCTCTGATTACTGCTAGACCATCCATGTCAGAGACACCTTATCCCTGGCACTCAGGAAATATTTCTCAACAACACATTTGCTTTTGCCTTTGGAATAAACATCAGGTATTTTCAAAACATTTTCTCAGAGGATTCTCTCCTTCGTATCCCCCTAGAAGTCCCATGTACATAATCTCACACACCCTGCAAACTGTGCTAGCTGAATACCATGCTATTTTATCAACAGCTCTGTATATTTTTCAAGCACAAGCTCTAAACATTTCTGTTTGCCCAGTGGTTCTGCCTCTCTCCTTAGTTGTGGCCATGAGAACGTGATTTGTTTAAACAGGAAAACAAACAAGTAGAGTCTGCAGTCCCTCTCTCCATTTTCTCTGCCACACTTGCACCTGAGGCATAGGCTTATCAGGATAGAGGGGAAGGAAAATTTGTGGGAGCTCCTTATTAAAGTACCAAGAGTATGCTGCCAGGGCACATACCCATTCCTTCAATAATCCATGGCTGACCCTGAGAAATCAGAGAGATCCATATTGTAGATGAAGATTAAAAAAATCTATTAAGAGTACAAATTATTCAATCTACTTCTCTTACACTTCAACAGTCCTGCACAGAGATGAAGGTGAAGTCAACAGAGTCCAAACATTCTCTACAGGGGGAACATTGGGGAAGCATCACTGCAAGTGAGAGCATGGTGTCCCAGATTCCATGAATGTAAAAACTGCCACAAGGACAACTTTAGGGGGTTTACAGCTTCCCCAGCACTTTAATTAGTTAATAATTCAATTAGGACTGTTCATTTTGATGCACAATTAGAGTTTCCCTACCAAATTGTTTTATTTTACTTTTTTCCTTTTCTAAATAATAATTGAAATGAATGTTGTGCTGGAGAAAGGAGCCAGATTGAAAGCCCCAGAGAAAGAGACTCTCTGTCCACAGAACAGGAGCAACCCAGAAAATAAGAGCATATGTTTCCCTTGTTCCACCCCATCATGTGTCCTTCAGTCCTCCACTAGAAGGTTCCCTTCTAAGGCTGAGTGGGATTCACTCAGCGCCCCTCTGTTGAGGCTGTCAACAAGGGGGGCCAGTTAGTGCCATTATACAGTAGTAGGTTTTTTGGCTTTTGAGATGCCCCATCATCACCCCCCCAGTCCTCAATTCATTTCAGGCAGGCTACAGTTTTACTCCTATCAGAGAGTTGGATTCTGACTGTGCTGTGTATATTATTCTATGGGAAACGGAATGTAAAGTTTCTATGGCATTGAGGTTGTGTGAACCCACCAGACAATGACAACTGCTAAGGAACATTAGTAGGTCTCTTCTGCCACATGCTCTAGGGGATCCCTGAAATGTACTAATACAAGTCAGGACAGGGACAAGAGCTATAAAGGAGGGGATGTTGGGGCATCCAGGCGCCTGCTTTCCAGATGATAAAGGCTAAAAGTGTCCTTGCCTGCTGACAATGATAATGGTCAAACAGACGAAGTAAGTGCTCAGAAGCCACGAGCTACCTATCAGCAGTAGAGCACAGTTCAGCTTCTATTGCTGACGCTGCACGTCACCATGTCAATTGCCCCAACCATTTTCACTTGCCAGAGTTTTACTGGGCCAGAGACACTTTTGTGGTAGCTGCACAATTAGTCCCAATTCTCAAAGGCTACAGAAAATAAATAAATAAAAAATACCCAGTCCTTCCCATCAACACCGTATGTAGAATAAATATCCACACGTTCGCATGCAGCCGTTCAGTGCATGTCTCCATTTCAGAACACACCTCTGGCTGCCTTACAGGCGCTGTTAATTTCCATTGAGAAGGATTAGGAGCTTAAACCATTACAGCTCATTTACATAAACTTCATACATTTTTAAAACTACCTCATTTTATGCTGATGTGCAGGTGTTAATCTCCCATGAAATATTGAAAAGAATAAAATGCCCAACAGGTTCAGCCCTCTAAAGGCCCTTTACTCCACTATTCTAGCAAAGTTTGCCACTCTCTCTTACTGCACTCGTCTTGCAGATATTTTCTGTCTCCAGGTTTGGAAAGTCAGTAAACTTTGCTAAAGTTCATCTTCCTTTCCAAGTGCAAACAGAGGCATCCCATGAAGTGAGCTGTAGCTCACGAAAGCTTATGCTCAAATAAATTTGCTAGTCTCTAAGGTGCCACAAGTCCTCCTTTTCTTTTTGCGAATACAGACTAACATGGCTGCTACTCTGAAACCTTTGCTAAAGTAGTTACATATTTTAATCAGATGTTGCATGACAGCATCCCCATTATTTGCCACTTGCTTTCTTCTACTAACAACCCCTCCCCCTCCAAAAAAACCCAGCCATTCCAGATTGATGGCTCCCAAGCTGCCAGTGCTACCCGGTATCACCAGTGACAGTCCCAGACAGGACTCCCCGAGAACATCAGTTATATATGCACTTCAATTAACATTCAAACTGCAGTTTATTTGTTTGCCAGTATTGGCACTTGGGCTGCCTGGCGAAGGATCAAGAGAAACAAGCCGTTCATGTTTACAGTATACAGGAGTCCTACATCCAGTAACTCCTGGTTACTCATTTACAGTGACCTCATTGGGGAGACATGCCTGAGTGTTACAACTGCCCTTACTTCACTTCTGGGCAAACTGCTGCGCCTATCTCTCCCCTCCTCCCCCCACCTGACCACAGCTGATAAAAGGGAAAGAAACCCTCCCTGAACATTCATTGCCTAATCAGGATTTCATTACCTGCATCGACTCTGCTCCCATGCCCCCTGCATTGCAGCCTTCTCTCTCATGACTGTGGCTTGTAAGAGACAGGAACCCTGAGTCTCCAGGGGGATGTTCTGATGGGCTGTAATAGAAAAGGTTACTTTAAAGCTCCTTATTTGGGCAGTGATGTAAAGGGAAGTTGTTCAGTCAGCACCACCCACTTTTTCCATTCACTACACATTGTTTCCTGTTGTCAAGCAGCTGCTGTGGCTTTCGATACAGACAAGGGAATCCTTCAGCCCTTGGCTGGCTCTCATGCATTGCACAACTTGTTAACAGCGCATTTCTGAGACAACCATCTCCTGGGCCAAACTCCTTATACTTCTAGCAAACATTTCTTCCTTTAAAATTTTGCAAAAATCCATCAAATCTTGACAATAGACAGTGATATAAAAATCTCTCTCTCTCTCTCTCACACACACACCGCCCCTCCATCACAAATGCTCACTTGTTAGCAGACTAGAGCCATCGGAAAGTTGCTAAGTGAGACTGTCATCACAATCGGTCTGAGAACCAATCTGCAGCAGTGGGTACAGATCAGACTGCATCTCACTGCAAGTCTCTCTTAAGGAGCCTGCCCTGCCTCCGGACTGTAAGGTGCTCAGATACCATGCTGGCAGGTGCTAAATAACGATCTAAAGAGAATAAGACAGAACAAGGACTGTCTGCCCCAGCAAGAATCACTTGCCAAATCCCAATGAGGAACGAATGGGCTATGGGACCAGTGCTGGCTGCAGAAGAGCCTCTCTCAGGGACAGACACCCTGATAAGGCATGGGTAGATTAGCCTGAAGCCGAGCCACGTTGGACTCCCGGCTACCAGCTGATGGGACTGGCCCTGTGGCTCAGCGCTAGTGCCGCGGAGCGGCTGCTGTGGGCTCTGGCGCTTGCCTCACGTCAGCCAAATGCACCTACCAGGAGGACGCCGGCTGAGAGCAGAAAGCAGCCCCCTGGAGATGCCCTGCAGGCACCAGCGGGTCCGCTCAGCCCCGAGCCCTGTGCACGCAGAGGCGCTGGGGGAAGGAAGAAAACAATCAGAGTGTGTGTGTGTGTGTGTGAGTGTGTGTGAGTGTGAGTGTGTGAGTGTGAGTGAGTGTGTGCGCGCCCCTCCCCTCCCCGCCCCCACCTCTCTACCGCAGGCTCTGGCGTCTCCCCCTCTCCATCCTTCTCAGCCTGCCTCATCTCTCCATCCCCACATCCTCCGCCCCCGCATCTGGCCGCCCCCCGCCCCGTGACACGCGCCCTCCCACTTTCGCTCCAGCTTGTTTCCCCGCACGCGGGGCGCGGGCTCAGCCCGGCCCCGGGTCACTCCCCAGGCCGGCCCGCAGGAGCCGTGCGGGGCCACGGGCCGGGCTCCGGCGATTCCGCTCCCGGTCCGGGACTCACCGACCCGCGCGGAGTCCGCAGCTCGGGGCAGGAGGACTCCGACCCGCAGAGGGGTTATCACCTGCAGCCCACGCCCCAGCCCGGAGCTCGGGGCAAGGCGTGGGGACGGGGCACAGCCCAGGGAACCGGGAGCTGAGCCAGGAACAAGCCTGTGGCCCCTAGGAAAAGGGGGGATTTTGACTCGTGTTAACTAAGATGTGCCAAACATCCTGCGCTGGCCAAGGCAAGGGGGAGTTTTAACAGGTGTGAGCTGGTTCCCAGGATTTATCCTGAGCAGCTCCAGGGTACAACTCCAGCTTGCCTGGCGTACAGTGGGATCTGGACGTTTTTCGCAGCTGACCCGTGTTAACAGATGGTTTTTTTGTTTTATTGTGGACGTGGCCTTAGAGGCAAAGGTTGGAAGATGTGAAAATGCTGCCCCCCTCAGTCTGGGTCGGGCTGTCTACTCCCCTGGGAACTGGGGCACACAGTCTCTTCTCCTGCAGGGTTAAGAGGAGAGCCCTGCACACCCCTCCTTGGAGGGAGGGAGGGACAGGCTACAGGGATCGTTAACATCGGGCTTCCACCACAGGACACTCTCCAGCTGAAAACAGAACGGGTACCTTCACAGCAGCACAGCACACAAGCCACCTGCATCTGGCAGCCACTTTGCACCTCCCCTGCCTAGCATAGGAGACACCCACTTACACTGGTTGTATGGCAATGTCCTAAGGGGACTCCTACCAGAGCCTCCACTGACCCACCCTAAGTCCAGCCTGCAAAGTCCCCAATCTGCACGCATTGAATCACTTGCTCTAGGCTGTTTAGCAAGTGCTCTCCCTTAAACAGATCCCATGCCAGCATGCAGAGCTCCTGAGCTGTTGGGAAGTACCACGAAGCTATGCCATGCTTCCAGCCTGGCCTCCACTGTGTGCAGGATGAACCAGGGAGGGGAGAGTCCTGCTGGGAGCAGGCAAGTCTGAAGCCCTTAACATTTGGTTATACTAGTTCCTGACACTACATTCTTTGCACCCTGTAAGCCTCTCTCTGTGTTGCTTGGCCTTGCCGTTCGGTGAGAGCCCTATGTGCCTTATGAAAGCAGAGCAACTACCTACAAGTATGAGAATATCTCTAAATTGCCCTGATCACACATTAGCCACAGCTGTGGGAAAGGAGCCAGGCTTCCAATTTCATTTTCATTCAGACTTTACATGTGGAAGCTTTCATGAGTGATGACACAACAATGACATCAAATCAGCTTTTCCACAGAATTGCTGCATGAAGTCTTGAGGACACTGAACTCGGCCCACAGACCAGAAAGCTGTGGGATACCTGTGTGCCTGACCTTACATGCTAAACTGTGTGAATGGGCAGTGTGCCTATGCCATCCTCAGCAGAGAACACACGGCCTGGGACAGTGTCAAAACTTATCCTTATTCCTGGGGTTTGGCCTTACTGGAAACACAGAAATATTGCCACAACATAAACCACATTCTAAGTGTCCTCCCCAAGACTAGGAGTTCCCAGGGTTTCTTTTTGGGACCTCCTCTGCCCTAGTATCCTAGTTTTCTACACCCCAAAGAGGCACTCTCAGACCCTTTATATTCTGGATGGAGCTAACCGGACCTCCAAGCCAGCATGACTCAGCAGGAAATACCCTGATCTTCACACCAACTTTTAGCACCTACACTACAGCAATTCAGCAGAAGAGCCCTGGATTCCTATACGGGGCTTTAGACTCTGTCGCTGTCATAGATTAGTAAAAGGCACGTTGGGTGGATGTACAATACACACATGTTAAGAGGCCCACCGTATAATAGCTAATAGATTTTAAGAGGGGGACTTGTTCAGGAGGGATTTGGCATTATACTTACTTATCAAGAACTTCGGGGGGGGGAGGAAGGGGATTAAGTCATTGTCACTGGTGCCCATAGCCGAACTGAATGGATTACCTTTATCTTTACAGGGGCAGACAAAATGTTTCATTGTAAAGAAAGGACGTGGCTGCAATAAGACAAAATGATCAGCCAAGGGAGACCTGTATGGGCTTGTTCCTGTTCCATGTGGTGATGGCAATGGATTTCAATGGGTGTTTTTAGTGGCTCCCATAGACTATCAGGTTTCCAAGATGATGGATATAATGCATGGATTTAAGTCCTGAGATGATCTCAGAAGACAAAGCAACACAATGTGGAGCTTTGAATTCAGGCAGCCGTAGGAAATCATGTTCTTTTACAAACCACAAGAATAGCTTTGCATCTAAGGCCAGGTCTACACTTAAAACTTTTGCCCGCATAATAATGTTGGTTAGGGATTGATTTTTTTTAAACAATATTTCCCCATAGCGCAGACAAAGATATACCAGGGGGAAAAGTGCTTTTGCCACGAGACCATATTTTGTTCAGGAACCAGTATAAGCTGTACTGGCAAAGCAATCTTTTGCCATTATAAGCTATGTCCACGTGAGGAGGCTTTGCTGATATATCTATACCTTTATTACTATACTGGCAAGCTTTTTTCTAGTGTAAACTATGCCTAAGACAAATGCCCACTATTTTAAAAATCATTGCCAAGCCTTCATTCCCATCCCTCTGCAGGCTTTCCAATATCAGGGCAGTATTAAAGCTGTGTGAGGTCCCTATAATGGAAATAGTGACTCTGACAGGCAAACAGTGGGATATGCTTTTCTGGGTGGACATCAATAGAATTGTATTTCTGTTCAGTAAACAGAAAGCAGCTCTTCAGGAAAATTAATCATTGGAAATCTACCACCAAAACCCCACGCTGCCCGGTCCCCAGTCTGACACAGCACCACTTCATTTCATCTCCCAAATGCTTCAATATCAGAAATGACAAAACAGCAGCTAAGTGTACAGTAAAAATACATCCGTTTTGTGTGTGTACACTGACTAATTCCTCACGGCTCCAACTCAGCTCCTCTCATTCATGGCAAAAAGGAGGGTGAGCCTGTGAAAGAGGGGTGGTTCTTATATTTAATTTTACACACCCACTCTCTTTCTCTCTGCTAAATTCACACGATGTAAGGAGGTGCAGCTGCAGTGACTTCAAGAGAGTTGCACCCATTTACTGATACACAAGGTGTGAATTTGACCTGTGTCTCTCCAAAGATGGCTAAGTGGCAAAGCCTTCACTGTGGTCATGCCACACCAACCAGAAAGATCCAAAAACAGCAAAACCAGAAGGGCAGTTATAGTGTATAACGTGACTTGGTGAATAATGGGCCTTGGTGAATATTTCCCCTTACACTGACTCATCCTGATCAAAATACCTCCATCAAAAGATTAGCTTTCCCAACAGCCAGAGCTGGAAACCCCACCTAGCAGCTGAACATCCAGCTTCTCACCAGTTAAAAAAAAATAAATAAACGAGGCTGCATCTAGAACTGAGCTGAGTGTTGTGGTGTTCTACATGAGACAGAACAGAGTCCACGCTGCTTCCTCATAGCAGGATCAGCCCCACAAAGCCAGCAGGAGTAAGAACATCTTGGTGTCACTGAAGGTGGCAGACATGACTCGACGACGCACAGGGCAGATATGGGGAGCAGTTCCTTTTCTAACTCTAAATACACTTTAGTATTTGCATATTCACAGAATGAACTTGGTGCAGCTCTCACGCGAACGCTTTGAGAAACGTGAGGATACCTAACACAAGCAGATTTAACAGTCAGTTTGGTCTATCACTGACTCTAAGGCAGCGG